GCATTACTCATACCTTGCTAATGCTTTATTTTTTGTTACCAAGATAATCACAGAATAATGAAACAAACTGTACACACCTCATCATTGTCAACTCCAACCAAGAAAAATAGTGATGCGTAGCGCCTATATACAATCTTGTAGTTGCGATGCTCAACAAATGAACACTGTTTTCAACACAAGAAAAAGAAATATTAAAGCACCAGTTAAATACAGTTCTTCAATAAAATCAAAGAAACAAATACACGGTCTTATACTTGGATACCAAATTCAACAAAGGGTAAGTAAACAAAACCGCAAGAGGTATGAAATCCAGCAGCGAAATACTCTAATAAATGGAGTAGACAGTCAGCTGAAACAAGTAATCCCCATCCCAATCCCAGAACCAGGCAAAAAAGGAACCAACTTGAGCAAGAAATTCTTGAATTTGAACACAAAATCAGCAAGCATTCAACAAAATCATTGATGGGTAATTATTAATCAAATTGTCCATTCTAAATCTAAAAAGTTTAATCCCTAAAGAGTGCTTCAAAGTAATGATGAAGTAATAAAACAGATGATATTCAAAGAAATAATCTGAATAGCGGAATAAATCTATGGAACTAAATCTGCTTCCTTTACACAGAATTGGACGATCGAACACGAAACATCCAATCAAAAAAGGGAAATTGTGGTCGGAACTAATGAGAGCGAACATAAGGAGCACCTGTTGCTCGGCGCGGGCGAGACACTTCCGGACGATCTCGCCCTCGAGGGCGCGGCGTTCTTCGAGGGTGAGCCATTCGTAATACTGGGCGAGACGGGTCTGACCTTGTTTGTTCACCATCAATACGAATCTGATCCCCATGTTTCTCAACTGGATCTATCGGATGAATTCTTTGTCTTCGTTGTTGGGATACAATGGGGAGACAGCAGAACAGCAGAAGAGATCTTTGAAGTTCAGAAATTTCAGTTAAAAAAGTGTTTTACGGAGTGAATTGTAAATATAGTTTAAATAATAAAATATAAATTTTTTTTTGAAAATATTAATATTTATAATATTAATTAATATTTTTATTTAAAATTTATTTATAATATTATATGTATTTATTTTTTTAATAATATATTATATTTTATTAAATATAACATAATATTATGGATTTATAATTTTAAGTAATATTATAATTATTATAATATATATATTTGTTTTTAAGAAATAAGGAATGACATTAATTTAAAAGGAATTACAAATAAGTGTGGGAAACTCAATCCCATTCACATATGTATGCAATAGCATCTGAAGTCCATAAGGACAACAATTAGGCTGATGATAAGCAAAAGAAGGCAGAGGGCGTCCAATGTTAGCAAGAAAGTCAGCACACATGTTGGCCTCTCCAAACACATGTCGTAGAATCGTAACCAAATGCAAGGAATGGCTGCCATCATGGCCCTGCAATCCAAAATCAGTATGTTAAGCGGATGATTTATACCAGGATCCTTAAATAAGAGGATCCTTAAATAAGAGCAGATAAGCCACATAAGAATCTATTTCTACAATAACAGTAGAAAGGCTAATTGTTGTGCGAGAGGAGGAGAACATCCCGGATCCCCCGCAATTTAGCAGCCAGACTAGATATGTGACCAATTTTTCTGGTAAAACCAGCGAGCCAGTTTCCTTGGTGATCCCTAATGAGGCCACCAGCCATTGCAATCTCAGGATTGGTAAGAGCAGAACCATCTGTGTTGATTTTAACCCAGCCAAGTAGGGGTTTCACCTGGTGGACAAGAGGGATGGTCTTGCTATGATTAGAGAGGGCACGGGTAGGGGTAATAGCACAAAATTCACTGGCTCTTTCTCTAATCATACGAAGCAACCTATTAGGGCAAAAATCAGCAAGTTGATACAGTTTTTGGTTGCGCAGGAGCCAGATGTTCCATAAGCAGAAACTCAATTAAGTACCCCAAGGAACAGGGATAGTAGGAGCAATATCCGTTTTTGCTGCAGTTATCCTTAATCTAACAGAAAAAGGTAAAACCAGCATCAGAGAAGTCAAAAGAACTAGGGAAGAAGTAGTTTCAAACAGAAGAAACAGGATTACAAACTTGCATAAGATGAGTGCAGGTTTCAAGAACCATCAAACATATAGGGCATAAACAAGTATCAACAATGCCTAACCTGCAAAAATGGAAAAAGTTTTGAGACGCTCATGGTTTGTAGATTGTAGTATTTGAAATCTAGACCTGTAAAACCCTTTTTCTATAAAAAAATATTCTGATAAGAAAATATACAAGAGCACAAAAGACAAATTGGACGGAAATGCATGCAGTTTGGTATTAAAGTTATTATAAATATTTAGAGATCTTATATCCAAGGAAAAATGTAAAAGGGCGCAATATATATTTTGGATTTAAGATTGTGTCTCTTCATACATTCATTAGCATAATTGATTCCCTAACATAAGATTCAATCTTCAATCATTACGTCTTAACATCTATTGAAAATTAATTAATTAACCTTTTTCCGAAGGTGAAGTAGTCATGGAACTTGCTCATGCCCAAGATTGTGTTGCAAAAGTTAGCTGCCGAATAAGTAATTGGGAACTCTTTAGTCAATTATTCATGTTTGTAATTTAGCATGGTCAACACTACAAAATAATTTCTTAGTTTGTATTTTTTTCCTCTTATAATTTTTTTTT